CGTGCCCATGGAGCTCGAGGCGGCGGCGCCAGCGGCTTCGACAGCTCCGAGGGCCTGGACAGTGCATGATGATCCCGCTCCCGATGCAGACGTCGAGCTGGCGTGGGCCAGGAGGTTCGCGCCGCCCTTCGCGACGCTCCAGAAGGACGCGAAGAGGTTCCAGCGCTGGGTGGGCGCCTACCCGAAGCAGCTGCCGCCCTTCTCGGTGAGCAAGAGCTGGGGCCCGAAGACCACCTACACGGTGAAGACGGCGCTGATGTTCGTGCTGCAGACGTTGTGGCTGTGGCACGAGGAGGAGACGGGCGAGAAGTGCCCGTACGCGCTGTGGGGCGACAACGCGGGCCTGCCGCCGTGAACAACTTCAAGGCGGGGTGAGGCGCCAGGTTGTGCTGCAAGTCGGAGCTGGCCCTGGAGGGCCAGCTTCACCTCCACCTCCCTCCTCCATGCAGTCCATGACCTCCAGATTTGATAACATGGGGTTCCAATGATTTCAGGTTTAGTTTTTGATTCGTTGTAGGTGCTGACGCTTAAGTATCAGGGGTCCGAGGGCCCGAAAAAATCACACGTATGAACTCATTGCCTCGCGATGTTGGCTTCGAGTAGATAATGGTTTAAGAAATCGTTCGTACGCAATGTTGGGAGTACGTTTGAACGGAACGGTAAACAGTGAACATAGGAGCCATCAACCTATCCTCCACGCCCTCGCAGCCCACGAGTTTCGCACAGCGACGGTGACAGTCGCTGTGCCAGCACGCTTTCTGTTTATTTAGGGGGCCGCGCCGTGCGGCTTCCTGGGACATCCCAGCCACCGCAGTCTGAACGGTGGTGGCTGGCTGCCAGCTCGCTGGAAAACAATGGGAAACAACTAAGGGGGGCAGGTAACCGTTCCAAGGCGCATGGGTTTGACCCCCCCTTCCATGTTGACTCATCCCTCCCTGGGTTTCGGTCTGAAACCTCACGGCTGCCTCACGGGATCTCGATTGAAACTCATTGTTGTTTGATGGGTCTTTGTTTGACCTCCCTTGGTGGAAGCGCAAGTCTCTATGTGAAACTTCACGGCCTACTCGTGGGTTTCTTCATGTACTATCCCAGACGATGCTCACAGCTGCATTGCCACATGCCCTCTCACGAAGGTGCTGCTCCTGGGGATCAGCTGCATTCCCTTCCCCCCCTTTCCAAACGAGGAGGAGGAGGGAGGGGGGAGAGGGAGGAGGAAGAGGAGAAGGAGGAGGTAAGGAGGAGGAGGGAGGAAGAAACAGGAGGAGGAAGAGAACAACTAACATACCAAAAGATGAGGATGAAGTGTCTCAGAACGTAGTAAGGACGATGCGGACATACATGCAGACGGACAACAGAGCGATGATCGTGGGCACGGAGCAATAGTGAGATCAGGCAGTTCCTCTTCAGACGCATATCGGATAATAGCTAAGGTTTCGCCGCTCCGCCAGGATCAACTAAGCATAATAGTGGGGCTCAGCCTTCTGATTGTAACATCGTTGATGTGATGCTCGCAAATGTTGGACGGTGTGGTATAGCCCAGCAACATATCTGAAAATCCTTTTTAAAAAAATCCATATACCACCCATGTGCTATACCACCCCAATCCAATGCCCCAAGGGGCACAATTTGGGGACACCCAGCTTCCCATTGTGAAACACCGGGTGCGAGCCACCGGAAAGGCACTTTGATAGGAATAGTGCGATGGTTACCAGAGTGGGGGGATCAGCAAACATAATTCTGTAGGAATGAGAATTCAACAACAACAACAACAAGGCGAGAGCGGGTTCCTGGTACCCTGCCCCCAGGGCACCGTCACCCCTGACCTTCCTAGCCCGGCGAGAACAGGACCCTGGCACCCCGCCCCCAATTGCGCGGAGGGGGGGGGCGCAACCGCAACAGCGCAACTTCTGGTCCTACCATAGTTTATGAGAATACTAGGAAGCTTCCCGATGGCATTCTGGACACAACATCGATGTGCGCGCTAGCGAAGCGATCTTTTCCTGATGACTCCATAGGGATGGTACAAAACCTGCCTGGAACTCTATAGGGATGGTACAATACCTACTGGGAACTCTATAGGGATGGTGCAGGACCTACTGGGAACTGTGTACGGATAGTACAAGACCTATTGGGAACTCTACAGCGATGGTACAGGATCTACTGCGAAATCTACAAGAATGGTGCATGACCTACTGGGAATTATGAAGTAAGTGATGGTGCAGGACCTACTGGGACCCTGTAGGGACGGCAGAGGACTTACAAGGAAGTCTATATGGATGGCAGGACCTACTGGGAGCTCTATGGGGATGGTACAGGACCTACATACAAGGAGCTCTATAGGAATGCGATAGTACCTACTGAGAACTCGATAAGGATGGTGCAGGACCTACTGGGAGCTCTATGGGATAGTACAGGACCCACTAGGAACTGTATAGCGATGGTACAGGAGCTATAGGAAACTCTATGGGGATGGTACAGGACCTACTGCTACTGGGATCCCTATAGAGATGGTGCACGACCTACTGGGTACTGGGAGCTCATGGATGATACACGACCTACTGGGAGCTCTATGGGGATGGTACAACACCTTTTGGGACCTCCATAAGAATTGTACATGACCGACTGGGAACTCTATAGGGATGGTGCAAGACCTACTGGGAACTGTGTAAGGATGGTGCACGACCTAAAATGGACCCCCTGTGGGGCCACGAACCGTGCGAGGGGTGCGCCAACATGGACGCGAAACCTTCGGTTGCACCCCTTGTGGGGCCAAGAACCGTGTGGGGGGTGCGCCGTCATGGATCCGAAGACTTCGGCTGTGTCACCTGTGGGGCCACGAACCATGTGAATGGTGCGCCGGAGTGGACCCGAAGCCTTCGGTTGTGCCCCCGTCGGGCCACGAACCGTGTGAGGATTGTGCCGAAATGCACCCAAAACCTTCGGTTGCGCCCCTTGTGGGGCCGTAGACCGTGTGAGGGGTGTGCAGAAATAGGCCCGATGCCTTCGGTTGCGGCCCATGTGGGGCGACGAACCGTGTGAGACATGCGCAGACATGGGCTCGACAATTCAGGTTACGCCCCCTGTTGGGCCACGAATCATATGAAGCGTATGCCGAAATAGGCCCGCAGCCTCCGGTTGCGCCCCCCTGTGGGGCCACGGACCGTGTGAGGGGTGCGCCGGAATCAACCCGAAACCTTCGGTTGTGCCGCCTGCGTGGCCACGAACCGTGTGAGGGGTATGCCGAGATGGACCCGAAGCCTTCGCTACAGCTCCACGTGGGGCCGCGAAAACCTTCGATTGTGCCCCCTGTGGGGCCACGAACCCTGTGAATGGCGTGCCGCATGGACCCGATCGGTTGTGCCCCCTGTGGGGCCACGAACCGTGTGTTGCGCGTGCCGAAATAAATCCCTAGGCGTGAATGAGAGCCGTGACAGACCCCATACGGACAGTATGATATCCGACGCAGATCCCATCCGACCTGTAAGCGATCCGATACAAATCCCGAACGGCATGTAGGAATTCCGACACAGATCCCCCACGGCCTGTGTGAGATCATCTACAGATCCCACGCGGCCGGTATAGGGTCCGATACAAATCCAATACGCCCTGCATGGGAGCCGATACAGATCCCACATGGCCTGTACGGGATCCCATACAGATCGCCTACGCCCTGTATGGGATTCGACCCATGCGGCCTGTATGGGATCCGATACAAATCCAATGCGGATCCTATGCGTATCCGACCTGGCATGTACAGGATCCGATACAGACTGTACAGGGTCCTATAAAGATCCGATGCGGGCTCCCGCAAAACCCCATGGGGTGCCGCGCGAAAGGCGCACGAGACGCGCAAGGGGAGGGCGCAACTCGCGCAAGGGAGGGCGCAACTTGCGGGGGGAGGGTCGCAACCCAACCGCGTTCGCGCTCGAGCGTAGGAGGAGGAGGGAGGAAGAGGAGGATCAGGAGGAGGAGGATGAGCAGGAGGAGGAGGAGGAGGAGGAGGAGGAGGAGGAGGAGGGGAGGAGGAGGGAGGGAGGAGGGGGAGGATGAGGAGGAGGAGGAGGAGGAGGAGGCGGAAGCGTGTGAGTTCTGCATGGATCGCGAGGAAATCTCGAGCGATGGTGTGATTCCCCCAAACAATTCGCAAGAGAAGAGTCAGAGCGAGAGTGCGACTCCTGAGTGTCAAGGGCGCGGCGTCTGGATAGAGTGGACGGAAGTCCCATGCGAGAGCGCGAATCCTGCATACGTTGTGAAGAAGTCCCGCGCGAGGGCGAGGAAGTCTCAAACGATAGCGCGATTCCCGAGTAGACCGTGAGAAAAGCCAGAGCAACAGCGTGATTCCTGAGTGTCAAGGGCGCGGCGTCTGAACAAGTTGGACGGAAGTCCCAGGCGAGAGCGCGAATCCTGCATACATTGTGAGGACGTCCCGCGCGAGGGTGCGAGTTTGGGAATGCATTGTGGAGAGATAGCAAGCGGGAGCTGTTGTTGTTGTAGTTTGGGGGCCAGGGGCTCAGATTGAGCATAAAGATTTTCCTTGATAAGAAGCAGGGTGCGAGCCCTGAGGAGGGCACTTCGATTGAAAATTTACTCTGTGCACCGGTGTGGGGGGATCTACAACAGTTATTCTTCAAGAGTGAGAGTTCAACACGAACAGCATCAACAACACTCCGCACCGCGGAACCTCATTTCAGGCACGCGCCCAGGGACAGTGAATGACCGTTCGGCCACCTCACTCTGATAAAACATTGTATGCACATATACGTGTATATGTTTGAACATCTATATATATATATATATATATATATATATATATGCATATACACACATTTACACATGCATAACCTGAAGAGAACCACATGTGTCATCTCTCGTACATGATATCTACTATATGCTATGTCCGCGTCACACTTTATAATCGATTATACAATTACGACCGTGGTCGCAAGGACTTGGGTACTTGGCCGCAGCAAAAAATGCATAAAACCTGGAAGCCTTACATCGCTGGGAATGAATTCCAGAGCCGGAACAGAGAACCAAGGAACCTAGCTCTCACCACGAAATCGGCCTGGAACCCGGAACAGGGAACCCGGGAACCTGGAACATTGGAACCCGGCCGCCTACCGAAATCGTGGCCGCACCTTCGCCTACACGTCGGTCGGAAAAAGTAGGTGAAAAACATGAAGTAGGAAGGCGGATACTTTCAACTACTGGCGCGTACTCTTTCAATGACGGGGGGAAAATCACCTCTCCTGTGCTGCGCGGAGGATCTGCTGCCCTGAGTTCGCCGGGAGCTCCCGCCCAAAGGGAAGAATGCCGCACACGAACTCGAACAGCATGACGCCCAGTGACCTCATGCTTTTGTCCGTGCGCTCTCGTGCTCCTCTTCCAAGGCCGGACTAACTGCGATGTTGCTTAAAGGTGATGGTGGGAACCAAAGTGTAGGAAGTCACGAACCAAATGTTCCTACATTTCCAAACTGCGACTGGATCGAGCGAACACGACACAGCGAGTTGCAGGAAAGGGCGAGCCACGCGTTCCCACAATACCGAAACCAACATCGCCGTTACCTACACCGCCGTTAGCCCGTCTACGACTCTTACCCTTACTCGCGTGTACTCGCATGTCTGCTCTTCCACAGTCTGCTGGCAACCCTCTCTTCCAACTCATCCTCGTCGTCGTTGCCATGCTCATGCTCCGTCGGGAACCTCCGCCGCCTTCTTTTCCTTATCGGTCCTTCTTGCTCCTGCTTCTCACTCTCTTCTGCCTCATCATCCTGCTTCCTCGGCTCGTCATCCCACCATGCTTCCCTGTCCGCCCTGCTGTGCCCATGCGCCGCGTCCCCCCGAGACCCCGAGACACCCCAGGGTAGAGCGGTGAGCACGGATGCGGGCTCATACCATAGCACTCTGCACGACGCTGCGACCCACTTCTTTACCAGAGTCCAGAAGCAGAATTGGGGTGTGCGACCCTGTAGGCAACAACTCCCGAGAGGCTCCGAGCCCCAAGGTGGCTTGCTGAACAGACTCCTCCCCTGCGCCAGCGCTGCGGGCTTGAGCAACCCATGGTCAATGGAAGCGAATCGCCCACACAAGGTGTTAGATCATCTGATGCTTACCAAGCCTCGCACAATTCCAGCGTACAGCTTCGCAAACCTTCTCCACCAATCCCACATACACCAACATGGTAAGCTATACGTCGCCGTCATGAGTACCATGAATGGCACTATTGTTCATACAATGGTGCGCAAAGAAACGGGCACAAATGGATGTTGGAATATCTAATGAAACCGGAGGTGGTCACGGCTGAAACACGCTATCAGGCTCGAAAGAAGACGACGCAGATGAGATGCTCCAACCAGGATTGGAACGATTGAGGGGGCCTGCCCTGGATTTGTAACAAATGGAAGGGCTGGCCGCGGCCACCTTGTCAAACTTCCTGCACGTTTGGAAGACACTCCTCAACCGCATCCTCTTCGCCGTCACCGTCGCCACTAGACGTCAAGAGATGCCAACTCTGTCTGGTCGTACTCCGCGGCGCCTCCATACATCGCGCCGACGAGCAGTGAATGACGAAATGGTTACTCACGTGATGCCAACGCCAACGCAAACAGCAATGACAACATCTACTTCTGAACCTACTTCTTCTTGTTCTCCCGCTTTTCCTCTGTCGCGCTATCTAGACTCGTTTGTGCGAGGACACGCGCGGGACGGGCGGGAACTGGCATCGTCACATTCTGAATCGTTGCCCCCATCCTCATGAAACTCCCCCTCCTCAGACTCCTTCTTTAACTTCCTCTTTCCCCCCTTCCCCCATCAAGCTCACTCCGTACACGTCGGTCGAAAGAAGTAGGTAGAAGCATGAAGTAGGAAGGCGGATATGGTGGATTGGGTCCAGGTCCTCTCAGAGAATAACGAATACAACGAAAGCATGTCGATTCTTGAAGTAGGAAGGCGCTTGAAGTAGACTGGGATCTGGGAATCCAGAAATACCTACTTTCAACGACCGGCGTGTACTGATATCCTCCCCTTTCCGCACCCCAGCGAGGTCCCAGCACGTGCCTCGCCATGCCCCCCCCCCTGCGCGATGAGCCGCGGGCCAGACATCAACCTCCGTGCCGTATCCCTTGCCACGCGCCACCTGCGGCGGCATGAGCTCCGCACACCCTTCACCGTGCTCGTCATCTTGCTCCACCTCCACCACCTCCTCCTCCTCCTCCTCCTCCTCCAACTTCTCCTCCTTCTCCACATTGTCATCCACCTGCATTCTCGAGAGAGAGACAGCTATCGTGTTGGGAGGACGGGGTTGGGAGAATGCAGGGTACGAGCAAAAGCATCCGGACTGAATGAAGGATACTTGCGGCCGCCTGCGTCTAGCGAAGGGGAAACATGTTGTCATCGCAGCGCATGGGCCGCCAATCCAACACCGCGCAAGCTTCCTAAGAAGCGGGTTGCAACCTGCAACCTACTTCGTGGCCCTCTCGGGGCCTTCTTGGACCCCTGGGAAGTTCCCACGACGCAGGTTGCAACCTGCAGCCCACATCGTGGCCCTCTCAGGGCCTTCTTGGAGCCCTGCCGAGGCCTTCGGTGAGACCGTCCAAGAGCCCTCTTGCGTGTCTTCTGGGCCCTTTCAGAGCCATCTTGGACCATCTCAGGTGTTGAAGCGACGCGGCGAACACTGGAGGTGGAGCAATGGCATGAGCAATGCTGGGGAGTTCGGGCAATTACCCAGTGAATAATGAATTCCGCATCGGGTTCCGTATTGCGATCCGTTGCTGATACGGAATTCACAAGTGAATTGTTCCTCGTGCTCATAAAATTTTTGGGAGGTCGCGGGGCCGCAACAGGTTCCGTAATGCGTTCCGTTCCTGATACGGAAATAATGATGAATTCCGTATTGCGTCCCGTTCGCGATACGGAATCACTACTTCGTTGGTCCGCTTCCGTTCTGCATGGGTGTCGCCATGACTTCTGCATGAGTCGTGGGCACCCGCGGCGCAGCATCGTTGCCGATCGGACCACAGAGGTAATTCCAAACTATAGAGGCCCAGCCAGCGAGGCGCAGAGCAGGGCTCTTCAGGAGGAACAGCTGACGATGAAGGAGAGACGCGTGAATGCGATGAGCGGGAACGCCCTTTCCAGCGATATGAAAGCGAATAACCAACCCAAGTTCAAGCAGAAGCACCAGCGCACTCGGCAGGAAATTCAAGCTGCAGGGGGTTGGAGGATGCGACGGCCAATGCCCGTGCACATGCCAGTCTCATATAAGTACCTTCAACATATGCGAAAATACAAATGATACGGTCAATTCTCCCAGCCCCATCCTCTCTTCCTTCCTGTCCCGCGAAACTGAATGGTGGCCACATTTGCTCAGGGCGGGTTGACTGGATTCGATGTAAAATCCAGTGGAAGGAACATCGGCGCAGAGGACGAATGCATCTGTGGCAACAAGCACTGGAAGCTAAACAATGAAGTCGAAGGTTAGAGCGGAAAACAAAAGGTAATGACATTCCTTGCTGGGAGACACAGCACGCGCGCGCACGAGCATCCAAAGGGTCGCCTCCGGGGCCATAAAGTGGAAGCTCCCGATGATCGTGAAGGTACGGCATGTGCCTTGCTTGGGTGGGCACGGACCTAGGAACCATCCATGGCATACGAATCAAATATCAGGCGCACAAGCCGCTCAGAGCCATAAAACACGAATCCGCATGTGCCAAGCAAATGCGCAGCAACATGCGTGCGCCTGTGGTTCTTCGATCAACCAGGGCTTCGTGGAGGTGGTGCTAGTGCCGGCGCGTGTTCCGAGCGCCAATGGGCTCGCGCACGCGCCAAGACTGCGCGTGGACTTGCACGACGGTAGCGATCGTGCCCGAGCGCAGCATGGATAAGCTTTGCGGCGCACGCCGACCCAGCATAACAGGCACGCGGTGCGCCCTGGCAGGAGCACTTCGAATCATGTCGACCTGCTGCTGGAGACGGCTGGGGGGTCTGAACTGGTTGGGACCCTAGAAAATCGCGGCCAGGAGGGAGATGAAGCAAAATCCACTCCAAATTTGTCCCCGGCCCCCTCCTGAGTACATCTGGTCTAGTTTTTCACCCCGGATCCGTTGCTGACGGTCCCTGTGCCCGAAAACGGCACCCGGAGGCCGAACAAAATTATCCTGGCGCAGGACCCAAGCATATGCAGTTGTGAATAGCGCAGTTGTGAGAACCGTCTTCGGTGGAGCTCCCTATGGGGCCACGAAGCGTGTGAGGGGTGGGCCAAAACGGGGGTGACGCTCACATGTGAGCACTACCACTGGGCCTTAGGTGGAGCCCCCTATGAGGCCACGAAACTCGTGAGGGGGGGTGACACCCACGTCTGAGCACTGCCACCGGCGCTTTCGATGGTGGAGCTCCCTATGGGACCACGAAACGCGTGAGGGGCGTGCCGCAGGGGGGGGACCCCATGCGAACTGCGCCACTGGGGCCTTAGGTGGAACTCCCTATGGGGCCACGAGCCGTGTGAGGGGTGTGCCGAAAAGATGGTGACGCCGACATGCGAACTGTGCCACTGGGGCCTTAGGTGGAGCTCTCTATGGGGCCACGAAACGTGTGAGGCGTGTGCCGAAACGGGGGTGACGCACACATGTGAACTGCGCCACTGGGGCCATTAGGTGGAGCTCCTTTTTGGGGGGCCACGAAACGTGTGGGGGTTATGCCAAAATGGATCGGCGCAGCCATGCGGGCGGCGCCGCTGGGACCTTAGGTGGAGCTCCTTTCGTGGCCACGAAGCGTGTGAGGGATGTACCAAAATCGGGCGTCGCCGCCATGCAGGCGGCGCCACTGGGATCTTAGGTGGAGCTCCCTCTGGGGCCACGAAACGTGTGAGGGGTGTGCCGAAACGGGGTGATGCACACATGCGAACTGCGCCACTGGGGCCATTAGGTGGAGCTCCCTGTGTGGCCGAAACCAATGAGGAGTGTGCCGAAATGGAGCGGCGCCGCCATGCGGGCGGCGCCTGTGGGACCGTAAATGGAGCTCTCTCTGGGGCCACGAAGCGTGTGAGGGGCGTGCCAAAAATGAGGCGGCGCCGCCATGCGGGTGGCGCCACTGCGAGCTTAGGTGGAACTCCCTGTGGTGCCACGAGACGTATTAGGGGTGTGCCAATATGGGGCGGCGCCACTGGGAGACCTTAGGTGGAGCGCTCCCTATGGGGTCACGAAACGTGTGAGAGGTGTTCCGAAACGGAGCGGCGCCGGCGCCACTGGGACCTTAGGTGGAGCTCCCTCTGGGGCCACGAAACGTGTGAGGCGTGTGCCGAAACGGGGGTGACGCACACATGCGAACTGCGCCACTGGGGACCTTAGGTGGAGCTTCCCATGTGGCCGCGAAACGAGTGAGGAGTGTGCCGAAATGGAGCGGCGCCGCCATGCGGGCTGCGCCACTGGGACCTTAGGTGGAGCTCCTTTCGTGGCCACGGAACGTGTGAGGCATGTGCCAGATATGGGGGGAGAGGCGGGGATGCGAGGAGGGAGGGGGAGAGGAGGAGGGAGAGGAGAGGAACGCGGGGCGCTCTCGCTCTCGTCGAAGCGAGGACCCGACACCACGGGACGGCGGGGAAAACGAAGACCTCCTCGAACCCAGAACCCAGAACCTCGACTCTCCCTGCTCGCCGGAGCCACCTCCTCCTCCTCCTCCTCCTCCTCCTCCTCCTCCTCCTCCTCCTCCTCCTCCTCGGGCCACCTCGGGCCCACCGCCAGGCCTATAAGCCTGCTGCGCAGCACAGCCCGTGTGGGCAGGGCCCGGGGGCGCCCTGCAGGCTGCAGCCCCGACGGCGCGGGGCCCCGCCGGGGCGCGTGCACCGGCTCCTTCGGGGCCAGGCGGGGCCCCGCCGGGGCCCGGTGGCCGTCCCGCGGCTGGCGACCTCGGGGCTCGAGCGGAGCCAGAGCACAGCGAGCTGCGTGCCGTCGGGGCGTGGACCTGAGGAACCCAAAATAAGGAACGAGGCACATTTTTGCTCCACAAGTTAAACTTCGATTTCCCATCGAAAACATAAGGAGAGCCTGAGGCAAGCTGGGAAACAATCAAGGAACACCGAGCCCCTCCCCAACGGAAAGGGTTCCTTCTTCAGCGCCTCGACTGTACCGTCGGGGCGTGGACCTAAGGAACCCCAAATCATTATCAGCCTCGAACTTTTATCCCTATCCCTAAGAGTGGCACGCCAAAGAGCGATGAGAATCTCAGGGATGCGCCCTCGAAAAAACAGGGAATCCCCAAGATTGGCACCGTGATGAGGAGGTGCCCAGCAGAGGGATAGGGATATGTTCCAGGCTGGTAGAATAAGGGGCGAGGCCCCTGTTCTCCGCACACTGGGCTCCGACTTCCCTGGGAAAGCCTGAGGCAAACCTGAGGCAAAATGTGAAACAGCTAAGGAACACGGAGCCCCTCCCCAACGAAACGGGTTCCTGTAAGGCTGGGAGTCTTCAGTGCGACACCAGAAAAGATGGGGAAAAATATAGGAGGTGGGGGGAAGAAGACAAAAACCCAGAACATATGGGGAAACATGGGGAATCCTCCTATCTGCGTCTCCTTATCTGTGTGTCCCAGGGCCCCTTCACTGGTGTCCTTCACTTCTTTGCGTGCCTTCAGCGCCCCGGTCTGTGAGCACAACTCCTCGGAGGCCCGCCGGCGCGCGGAGCGCGCCGGGGGCGGCACCGGAGGCGCCGCCAGGGGGGCCCGACGCCGCTCCGGGAAGTCCGCGCGGGCCTCCGAGAAATGATGTCTGCGTGAACCAGCCTCGAACTTGTCCCTGTCCCTAAGACGGGCGAGCAAAAAGCGAGGACAATCTTGGGGATAGGCTCTCAGAGACCGAGGGAATCCTTAAGATCGGCATCGAGGTGAGGTGATGTCAAACATAGGGATAGGGATATGTTTCAAACTGGTGATACGTAGGTTGATCGTCTTCGGTACATCGTGCTCTCCGTTTTCGTGCCGTGTTCGTTCTCCCAGTCGCTCTCCCGGCGACGCGCCAGCTCGCGGAACGGTCCTGGCTCGGTCTGGCTTTCGCGACGGCGTGTGCGGCCCAAGCTGGTGGGGAGACGCGCCAAGATCCGCAACCGTGCCGCAGGCACTAAATGGAGGGTCTTCTGATCCCGTGGAAGTCCTCAGTGTGAAATGCCACATGACTGTTGCAGAGGCCTTGGGAGCATGACTCACAATGCAAACCTCCAGCATGCCCTACTAAAGAGGTCCCAAGGGTCCGTCCTAGTTGGGCTCCACTTGAGGCCGTCCCGAGGCCCTCTTGGGCGGTCTTGGGCGCCTCTGGGGCCGCTTGGGAGCCCTCTTGGGCCGTTTTGGGGGCCTCTTGGGAGCCTCCTGGGGCGAGGTTAAAGGCTTCGTGGGAGTCTTGGAGCGTCGAAAGCCAGAAAACGCGAGAACGCGAAACAAATTGAGAAAGAAACTGAATATCAATGATTTTGGCCTCTTGGAGATCTTCTCGGAGCGCTCTTGGGGCCTCTTGGGCGGCTTGGTGCGCTCTTGGGCCGTCCTGGCGGCCTCTGAGCGTCCCCTGCGGGCGCCGAAGAGGACCGTCGAGGCGCAGTGAACGCCCGGGAGCGTTCAGAAAGATCCGCCAGCGCTGGGGACGAAAGAGGGTTGCGGGGGGGAGGGGGGAGTTTTGAAAAAGTGGGGGGCCCAGGGGGGGATCCAGTCGCCGTTTTTTCCTGACGCCGAATGAAGAATACATACACGTATACAGATATACACGTACATAAATGTGTATATACATATATATATATATGTATATATATATATATACATATATGTTTATATATATATATATGCCACGAATGTATATGCACAAATGCTGCAAGAGTGCCTCCATGCTGCAAGTGGAATCTGCCAGGCGGAGGCCCACGGAGGGAGGCCACAGTGCTGCCAGGGCCTCCTCCAGACAGGCCGCGCGCGCCCGGCACAGTGGCGGGCCGGGTGCCCCGAGCCTTCGGGGAGCTTCTTGGCGATGCCGAAGTCGATCAGCCTGAAGGGCGGGGGGCTGGGCGGCTTCAGGCGCGTCGGCAGAAAAGGGCAAGAGGAGGCGGAAGGAGAGGAGGAGGAGGAGGAGGAGGAGGAGGAGGAGGAGGAGGAGGAGGAGGAGGAGGAGGAGGAGGAGAAGGAGGAGGAGGAGAGGAGGAGGAGGAGGAGAGGAGGAAGACCACTGTAAGTTCCAAGACCCACCAAAGATGTTGGAGTAAACCTGCGTCCGAAATGCGGACAAGGGTGAGGGGGGCGAGCCTGGGGTGGGTCGCTGGCGGGCTGCGAGTGGGTCGCGGGGTGTGTCGCGGGGGTAGGTCGCGGGGTTGGTCGCGGGTGGGTAGCGGGCGGGTCGCGGGCGAGGACAACGACACCATCAGCAACAATCATTTTAAGACTGCTTGCTCTTACCTGCCCGCGTGTCGCTCAACATGCATATCCCGAGCCCTCGATGCCCGCCCCCTTCGTCTGCGATCGTACCCCCGCTGGAGCAGATTTTCCTCACCTGCCACGTGTAGTTCGCGCAGCCCCTGAAACAAGGGAAGGGCGGGATGAGGGAACGGACAAGAGGGAGGGAGAAGGATGGAGCACAAAAGAGATTAGCAGGAAGGAGGTTACGAGCAGGAAACCAACCGGCATAACCGCTTTCACGTCGCAGCGCGGCAGAATCAGTCCGCACGCGCGTTCAGCAAACTGGCGGCAGAACCGCGGGCGGGTCGGCCGGGCGGGCGGGCTCTAACGGGCGGGTCGGGCGAACGGGTCACTGAAGCGTCAATCCTGCATGGGTCGCGAGGGAACCTCGAGTGATAGCGCGATTCCCAAGTCACTCGCGAGGAATTCCAGAACGAGAGCCTGATTCCTGAGTGTCGAAGGCGCGGCGTGTGAATCGCTTGCGAGGACGTCCCGCACGAGAGCGCGATTCCTGGATAGATTGAGGAACTCCCGCGCGACAGCGCGAATTGTAATAACTTGTGCGGAAATCTCAGCCGGGAGCCGCAATTGTTGTTGTTGTTGCTGCTGCTGCTGTTGTTGCTGCTGTTGTTGAACTCTGACTACTGAAGAATAAGCATTGTTGATCCCCCCTCCCGTGACCATTTGTGTTTTTTCAATTTTAAATGCTTTCCCCGTGGCTCGCACCCTTTTGTAGCAGGGGAACTTATAGGGTTCAAATTGGGCCCGGGGCCCCCAGTTTACAACAATAACGACTCCCGCCGGATACTTCCTCACAGTGTATTCCCAAATCGCGCTCTCGCGCGGGACTTCCTCTTGTATGTACGCATCGCGCTCTCGCGTGGGATTTCCATGCAGATTAATTCAAGCGATGCGGCCTCGGCGCTCAGGAATCACGCTCTCGCTCTGGCATTTCTTGTGATGTACTTGGGGATCGCGCTATCGCTTGAAACTTCCTCGCGAACCATGCAGGACCCACGCTTCAGCAACCCGCCTGCTCGACGTTGTCGCCTGGGCCCGCTTTCCCGACCTGCCCGCCATGGTTTTGCCCACGCGATTTGCCCGTCTGGTTCTACCACTTGTTTTCAGCTCCTTGCCCCTATCCTGCTAATCCCACCAGCCCTCTGGGCGTAGGTGGTTTAGGGCGGCTCCTCTTCCACTCCCTTTTCTTCCCCTTCGGGGAGGGGGTGCATCACTGTTCCCTATTAATATACACCCCCTCCCCCAGGCGACTGGGAGCCAATCAGGGACAATGCGGGCCCCCCCACCACCATCCCTTGTAACAAACAATACAAAACACACTGTGCCTCCAAATTCGGAGCATGCGCAGCGAACCCGATGCGGCCTCCCCCCACCATCCCTGTCAAAAAGCAATACAGAATACACTTGGCGGCGGCGGCGGCTGCAGCGGCTGCGGCGGGGGCAGCGGCTGCGGCGGCTGCGGCGGTGGCGGCGGCGGGGGCGGCGGTGGCGGCGGGGGCGGCGGCGGCGGCGGCGGCGGCAGCGGCGGACAGCGGCGGTAGCGGCGGACAGCGGCGGCGGCGGCGGACAGCGGCGGCGGCGCGGCGCCGGCGGCAGCGGCGGGCGGCGGCGGCGGCGGCGGAGGCGGCGGCGGCTGCGGCGGCGGATTGGCCCCCAGTAGCTGGCCATCCAAGGACGACTGCTGCATATTCTGCGGCTCGGGCCACGCTCGGGTGCTACGTATGTGTTGGGAGGGCGGGTGGGGGTGAGCGAGACGGCTTGCGGGCGGGGAGGGCGTCTTGACCCCTCCCCCTGCCCCCTCCCCTGGACCTGGACGGGGCGCCCCGCGAGCGGTCAGGGCGTCTAAAATGGCCTCGGCGAGGAAGCCAAACTCATTGGTTTTACCACTGTTTTGGCCACATGTTTGCCCCCTGGGTGGGGAGGGGGGGCGCTAATTAAGGACCCCCCCTTCTTTGATCGATCTCCTCCGAGATGGCCCCACGAGCGCTCCCAAGGCTCCCAAGGGTGCCCCAAGAGGGCCCCAAGAGGTGGCCAGGAGGCCCGAAGAGGCCCCCAAGAGGCCCCCAGGATGCCCCAAGAGGCCCCCAAGAAACCCCCAAATGGCCCCAAGAGGTCCCCCAGAGGGACCCAATACGCTCCAAGAGGCCTCGGCGACAATGCCAAAATTATCGATTTTACAGAGAAAGGTTTTGGCCCCATTTTGGCCTCCTGGGGGGGGGCACTGCTTAAGATGACTCCAAGAGCGCCTGGGGGAGCCCAAGATGACCTCCAAGATGGCTCAAGATATCCCAAGATGCCTCAAGATGGCTCTCACGATGCTCCAAGAGGCCCCCAAACCGCTCCACGATGGCTGGCCAAAGAGCTCCCCCAGGAGACCCCGAAGAGGCCAACATCCTTCCAAAACCTTAGGGACATCAATGTTTTTGGTTTTCCCGCCTTTTCGCTTCCGATGGCCCATCTGAGGCCTCAAGATGGCTCCAAGATGGCCCAAGAGGGCCCCAAGAGCGCTCCCAAGGCCCCCAAGAGCGTCCCAAGAGGGCCCCAAGAGGCGCCCAGACGGCCCCAAGAGGTCCCAACAGGCGCCCAAGAGGCCTCCAAGAGGCTCCCCAGAGACCCCCAAGCGGCCCCAAGAAGCTCTCCGAGGCACCCAAGACGCCTCAAGAGGCGCCCGGGACCGCCAAGAAGCCCCCAAGAGGCTCCAAGAGGCCTCCACTGGGGGACCCTTCCTCTGTGTGCTGCTCACTTCCCTGATCGAGGCAATTCCTCTGGGCATCGTTTCTGGATGGGCAGCTGTTTTTTGGGGGGTCGCGGCCGCAGGCGAAAGCGCAGGCGGCGTCCGAAGTCAGGCCGGGCTACGAGCCAAACCTAATTACCTAGCGTGCGAACTAACGGCCGCCGGAGCTGCCGCCGAGGGACGCTGGGCGACGCCGGGGACTGAAGGCAGAGCTGCAAGAGGTGCCAGGTGTGCCAGGCGGCTGAAGTGCAACCACCCCAGGGGCGAGACCACCAAGAAGGCAAACGAATTGTACCTTGTCGCGCCAGGCGCCAGTTGGGCTGGTGGGTTTACACGAAGCGTCTAGAATTGCTCTCGTGCTCCATTCTTCTCCATCCCCCTTCCACCCGTCCTCTCTTCCCTTGTTTTAGGGGCTGCACTAACTGCACCTGGCAGGTAAGGAAGCTATACCCCCAAGGGGCCCAAAGGGGGTACGATCGAAGACGACGAGGGCGGGTACAAGGTGGTTTGGGAAATACGTATCGATTGGCACGTGAGCGGATAGGAACGAACAGTCTTATGTTGTTGTGGTGGTGTTTGTTGTTGTTGCTGCTGTTGCTGTTGTTGTTGGCGGCGTTGCTGTCGTTGTTGAACTCTCACTTCCGAAAACAAGTGGCACGCGTGCCATGGCTCTTGCGCAAGAATGGAGGGGGGAATGAGGAGGAGGAGGAGGAGGAGAAAGAGAATGAGGAGGAGGACGTGGAGTACCGAGCACATGAAGCGACGCGCCGAGTCAGGATGAGAGACTAAGAGGACAGCAGGATAAAACACAAAAACAAAAAACGCAGACGACGAGAACGCACACTCGCACACAAGATCAGAGAGAGTGCGGCCCGCGCTGGCCCAGCCCAGGCACCACGGCGACGGGGCACGCCCTCACTTCGGGCCCTCGAGGCCCGAAGCCACCAAACTTAAACGACGAATTCGCTGAATTCTTTAACAGAAAACAAAACAAAACAAAACAAACAACGAATTCGCTTAATTCAAGAGCCCCAACCATTCGACGGCAGGATCCGAAACCAGCAATCGCCGAGGGAGGGGACTCGCATGGCGGCGCCCCTCGCGGGGGTGCCGCCCCGAAGCGAAGGCGTCTCTGCGCCACCTCCGCTGGGGATCCCCCACAAAGGGCCGAAGGGTCACGGGCGGCAAGCAGCTGAGACCGCGCCGCGCGCTCCGGGAAAGCTCCACAGCGTGTGCACCCCCACGACTTCCCCGCGGGGGAGAGTACTTTTTTAGTCGCCCGGGCGGGGGGAGGATGAGGAGGTTGAGGAGGAGGTGGAGGAGGAGGAGGAGGAGAGGAGGAGAGGAGGAGGAGGAGGAGGAGGAGGAGGAGGAGGAGGAGGAGGAGGAGGAGGAGGAGGAGGAGGAGGAGGAGAGAGGAGGAGGAGGAGGAGGAGGAGGAGAGGAGGAGGAGGAGGAGGAGGAGAGAGGGGAAGGATCGGGGGGGGGCGGGACGGCGGGGGCGGTGCGACGCCGAAATAAAATGTCGGGGCGGAGGGGGGCTAGGTGCATTGGGCGGGCGGGGAGGGGGAAGAGTCATGGGGGCGGGACGGCGGGGGCCGTGCGACGCTGAAACAAAGTGGTCGGGGCGGAGGAGGGCGGGGTAGAAACTGCACTGGACGGGGGGCGGTGCGACGCGGAAATGAAGCGGTCGGGACGGAGGGGGTCACGCTGGTGGTGGTGGTGGTGGTGGTTGGTGTGGGTGGGTGGGCGGAGAGGGCGGGAGGGGCAGGGCGGTGGGGGCGGTGCGACGCCGAAGTAAGAAGGCCGGGGCGGAGGGGGGCGGGGTGCAGAAGGCACTGGGCGGCTGGGGAGGGGGGAAGGGTCGGCGGGGCGGGGCGGTGGGGGCGGTGCGACGCCGAACTAGAGTGGTCGGGGCGGAGGGGGGTGGGGCCCGGGTACTGGACGGGGGGCGGTGTCGCGCTGGTGGTGGTGGTGGTGGTGGTGGTGGTGGTGGTGGTGGTGGTGGTGGTGGTGGTGGTGGTGGTGGTGGTGGTGGTGGTGGTGGTGGTGGTGGTGGTGGTGGTGGTGGTGGTGGCGGTTGATGCGTAAAGTGCTCGGGGCGGAGGGTGGCGAGATGGGCAGGGCTCTGGACGGGGGGCGGTGTCACGCTGGCGGTGGTGGTGGTGGTTGGCGTATAAAGTGATCGGGGCGGAGGGGGGCTTCAACTTCATGTTTACAGCTAACTCCCTTGCTCTTTGGGAGCGACTTCGTCGGTGTGCCTCACTGTTCTCATCATCATCGCCCGCGTCTTCCATCACGATAGCTCATCGCACAGACAGTCGACGTCACGTCTCTTCCCAATCCACCCCATGCCCTCACATACCCACCCGCAGGAGCAGGAGTCCGCCCCAGGTCGCTATTGTACAGACAGCGCCCCCCCAAAGAAGCGGCCTCGTCACTGCCGATTCGGACGCCCGAACTGGGTACGTTGTCAAACCACACATATTGTCCAACATCGACAGCGGCCACTGTTGGCCGGGCGGCCTTCTGTTCCAAATGGGCAACGTCCGCGGCGACACCGACACGAGTCCGGTCAAAAATGAGCAGGACCTGCGGTCGGTCTTCTCAGCCTTTCTTTCCGTTCCCATGTCATGCATGCCGAGCCGACGCTAATCGACACTGATCGACGTCAATCGATGCCGCTATGTTTACGAGAACCGACGCTGATCGACACTGAAGTGGCGCTATCTCATCGACTACCAGACGCTCATCGACGCCAGTGCGCTCTAATGGTGGAACCGCCAGGGTACACCAGGCCTCCCATGATGAGCTACCAAATCAACCGACCATTGAGCAGGGACCGCCCGTCCCGGCATTCCTACAGACCAACCACGAAGATTTCTCTGAATCCAAGCATGTTCGAAGAAAAGGACGAGTTTCTCAGAACATGAGGCCGATTCGTGAAAACAGGACAGAATCAGCCAGACATGCACCTAGAACACTTCGTGCAGACCACAAGAGGTTCTTAGAGCATTCTTTGGTGGGCCTGGACACGTCGCCCATTTTTCATCGTGCTCCTTTCTAGTTCTGCTCGCTTCTCGTTGTTCCTGGCCCCCTAGTGGCCAGGAATCGGTTATACGCAAGAGTGATCCTGGGTAAGAGTGACCTTTGGTGCGCGGCTTTTTGGGGGCCGCGGGGGGACCCAACCTGGGCGCGCAAACCGCTGCTCCTGCTTCGTTTTCAGCCACCTGGGGACCCATCTGTGCCCGCACCAAAGGTCACTCCCGCGAAAGGTCACTCTTACATCTAGTCGAAGGAAGAGGCCCAGGACAGAACAGTCAGAAATGACAGGACCCCGGCCCAAAAATCCGAGAACCTCCGCAGAATCAGAAACGAACGAGGCGGCGTACAGTCGGCGCGTTGACCGAAGGAACCCTAAATAAGGAACGAGGCCCCTTTTTTCCATGAGTTAAACTTCGATTTCGTATCGCAAACCTAAGGAAAACCGGGGGCAAGCTGCGAAACACTTAAGGAACGCGGAGCCCCTCCCCGACGGAAAGGGTTCCTTCTTCAGGGCCCCGACTGTAGGCGAGCCAGGACGCCTCGCCTCTGCTCGAGGCCCGCGCGGGCCCCCCTGCCGGCGCCGCGGGCGCGGCGCCGGCCGGCGCCGCCGCCGAGGCTCCCGTGGTGCCCCGTCGCTGCGCGCCGCCGGCCCCGGCTCTACCACAGGCCCGGTGAGCGCCCCGCGTCGGAGAGCGCTCCCTCGGCGGGGCGCGCGCGGCGGGCGTGAGCGGTGGAGGGGAATGCGAGCCCCATGCTGCATCACGGCAGCAATTCGGGCCCTGACTTTTTTTGTGGTTTTTATTAATTTATTTATTTATTCATTCATTCATTTTTATATATATATATATATATATATTTAATTCGGCCCCTGACCTTCGTCCTGGGCTCGGCTTCGTGAAGTGGTGGATCTCGGGGTCCTGACGTGGGGGAAAGCATCGCTTCACCAATCTGGGGCCCCTGGGGCCTCAGTGGGCCCTGGGGCCCAAAAATTAGTGACGTGATGGTTTTCGGGCCTCGGAGGAAACAGCTGTCGGCGGCGAGCGAGGGGGGGAAATGAAAATGAGAAGGAGCAGGCCTTCTCAGAAGGCGGCGGGACTTCTCAGAGGCCCTCTCGCGCGTTCCGAGAAGTTGTTGTTCTGTCTTCGGGGAAAGCTCAGAGGACTTCTCAGAAGGCTGGGGGACTTGCGAAACGTTCTGAGAAGGCCTTCTCCTTCTCGCTTCCCCCCTCGCTCGCCGCCGAAATTAATAAAAACTCCCCATCTCCCCCAAACTCAAAGTTGGCACGCGCGGGGGAGACTGCGGTCGAAGTGCAACTCATCGGACCCACCGCCGACTTTGAACACTTGGGGGGAGGGGGAGGCGTCGACCGATGAATGTGGCATGCGTGTCCGCTATCTTCTCCGAGGCCTGGAACACCCCGCGGAGGGCGGAGGACCTCTGGGGGCTGAGCGATTTTCGGAATCGGCAATCCGATTCCGCGCGCTCCGCAGGCCAGGGAAAGGGGGTCCAGCGCCAATCTCAGAGATCCACGCGGACCTCCGAAAGTTTGTGCTCACGCCGGTGGTTCTTCTTCGGCTTCCGACGGCTTCCGCCAGCAGCGAGGCGCCAGCCCTTCGATCGCTCGAGGGGCGCGGCCCTGCCTGCAGCGTCCCGCCCTGCCGGAGGTGGGGGCGCCCTCCAGGGAGTGCGCCCCTCAATGGGCCCACCCTCGCGCAACCGGGCGGATACAGCCAACACTGGTAGCACAGGCAACCCGTACAGTAAAGATGCGCGATAAGGATGCAAGGGCCTTGGACGCCCATTTCGAAGCTTCGCGACTGGGGCGCAGCCAACGAAAGTGACCAAGGATGGACCGAGGAGGCAAGGATGCAAGGGTACCCTTGGGACGGTTGCCCATATTTACTATGCGGGCTGACTGTCGTAAGGATGCGCGATAAGGATGCAAGCTCCTTGCGAGCCCGTGCTGAACCTCTTTAGAGCGCGGCAGGCCATCGAAAGCAGGCAGGGATTGACCAAAAAGAGAAGGGTGCACGGGTACCCCTTGGAGGGTCACCCATCCTTGCCATCGGTTTCGACTGTGGTGTCGATGGGCAACTTGATTCTGCAGGAGTGCGGGATGGAGCGTAGACGACGCGGCAGGGCACACAGACGCCCAGACGACCGTGCAGAAGAGGCCGCCGTGCGTGGCGTCTGGTTAGAGGAAGAACAACGACACAAACAGAAACTTTCGGCGGTCCGCGCGAATCTCTTGGATCCGCGCCAGACCCCCTCCCTGGCGCGCTGAGCGCGCCAGGGGCGGCGCCAGGGGCGGCGCCAGAGGCGCCGCTGGGGGGGGGCCCAGCGCAGATCGAAGATCTCCGCGCGGAGCGCCAAAAGAGTTTTTTTTGATATATTTTTATGTTTTTAATTATTTTTTGCCAGAAGAATATGTTTATGTCGTACTTTCGTCTTCGACTGGTGGCCGCAGGGGCGCGCCTGAGGTAGCCGTGCGTGTCGAGCATCACGTTCTCGGGCTTCAGGTCCCTGAAGACTATGTTGGCCTGCCCGGCGCGCTCGGCGAGATCGCGGCAGAGCCCCGTCGAGGCCGAGGCAGCTCCTGGGAGGCCCTCGTGAGAACGATGACTGCTCCGAAGTTCTGAGAAGAACAATGACCGTGTTGGGAGGAAAGGGTTGGGAGGATGAAAGGTATGAACAATAACACTCGGATGGAATGCACGACATCTTCGACAGCCTACGGGTAATTACTGATACCCTCACTTCTCCCAGCCCCGTCCTCCCAACCCGATACCTGTCGTCCTAGGTTCCGTGATGAAAAAGTGAGGTGGGGTCTGATATGGAGGGGGGAGTTGAGCCGTCCTGGAGAGTTCCAAGGGGCCTTGGTGCAAGGCAGCCCTCTCATAGCCGGTGCGGGGGGGGGATCCACAATTGCATACTTGCCCGTCTGGGAGGGTCTTCACCCTCCCCGATGGTGAAACTCGGAGCACAAAATCAGACTCATCCAGGTTGCGCGGGATGAAACATCCTCCTCCTCCTCCTCCTCCTCCTCCTCCTCCTCCTCATCCTCCTCCTCCTCCTCCTCCTCCTCCTCCTCCTCCTCCTCCTCGATTAAGCGGAATTATGCCGGCGTGGGCCAATTTTCGACCACGGACCTGCGGGCGGGCACCGTCGAGGAGTGCGTCGTGGCGGCGGCCCCAGCGACGCGGCTGTGCCAGGCGAGCGGAAAGCGCTTCGCGCCGCTGCTGGGGGGGCGGGAGGCTCGAGGGAGGCTCGGGGCGTTGCCGCTCGGGCACTGGGACGTTTTTTTTTTTTTTTTTTTTGAAAAAAAAACCCTCTATATATACATATACATATACACATACATATACACACACACACACAAGGGCTAACAGCGTGTCGCTTCGGAGCGCGGTGGGCCAGAAGCAGCAGAGCGACACACCAAGCCAAGGCTCTTGACCGCGAGCCAGCTGGCGCGGGATGGCGAAGAATGAAGCGGGATTGTGCCAGATGGGGCCAGTTCTCGACCACGCATGTACCATCGCCGATGCTGAATGCAACCTCCCAGGAGTCGCATCCTGATGCCTCGTAACCGTCGAGTTTGATTGGGGAGGACAGGCGGGAGGGCGCAGAACTCTCCCCCCTCGCAGAGGTCCTGCCATCAACGTGGCTCCGAAATGCCAGTGCCCATGCCCTCCGGAATGCAGAGGACACGTGTCGCGATGCATAGGACACGAAAGGCGCCCTCAATTTGGCGGGCTCGACCTACCACTCAAACTCAACTGTGTCCCAGGCCACCTGCGGCAAATTCGCGCCATGACGACCCCGCCCGGCGTTGGTTTCTGACACCGAGTGGACCGTTCAACTGTGAGCGACCAGCGGCTTCCCGACGACCGGATCGTTCCATACAGGCCAGTTCTGGGCCAATATCGGCGTTCGCCCTCAAACGGCCGCGCTGGGGTGTCGCCGACGTGTCGACACGACACGAACCCATGGTCGGGAATTGTTGCATAGCGTGGCGCGGCGGCGGCCCCAGAGACACGCTATGCCCTGCGAGTGGATAGCGTGTCGCTCCGCTCCGCGGGGCGGGAGGCCCTGGAAAACTGGAGACGTTGACACGCTGCGGGACCAGGAAGTGGATAGCGTGTCCCGCTGGAGCGTGGTGGGCCAGAACCCGCAGAGCGACACGCTGAGCCAAAAGTCCCCGACCGTATAGCTCTGCACCTCGCGCCGCGCCAGGCGCGACCACTTCGGTGCCTCGCGAAACGCATCTCTGGAAACTGGGCCGCGAGGCGCGAGGTGCGAGCTCACCTCCGCGCTCGTGCAGGTGGCGTGGCTGTTCCGGTCCCCTCTGCTCGTCGTCGGTCACCCCCATCGCCATCGCCGACCGTCCTCCTCAGGGGCAGCCCTCCCTCCGATCCTCCTGCTCCTCCTCCTGCTCCTCCTCCTCCTCTTCCTCATCGTTCTCCTCCTCCCCCCTTCTTCCATCCTTCCCTCCCTGCCTCCCGCCCTCCCTCCCTCCCTCGTCGTCGGTCGTCGTCCCGCCTCGCCTCCGCGTCCCCCCCGTGCCCATCGTCGGTGTCCTCCTCCCTTCTCCCATCCTCCCTCGTCGACGGTCCGCCCGGCCTGGCCACGCGGCGCGGGCCTCTCGAGACGCCACGGGTGGGCTCACCTGCGCGTCCCGCCTCCCCCCTGTGTGGTGCTAAGCAGGCTCACGCCACGCCACGAAAGCGATGTAGACGTGAAGTGATCTGCGAATGCTTTTCCTGTCGCTTCTTTGCCGTCGCCCGCGCAATCTTTTGCCCCAAGGTTGTGCGCCGGCCTGTGTCTGATCCTTTGTGGGCCCCGGAAACGGCAGGGCCAATTTTTCACTGTTTCCAAAAAAATGTCCCTTGAAAATGGAAGCGGCAGAAATACGGCGACCGCAAACGGCAAAAAAACGGCTCCAGGTTTGGAACCGGAGCCGGAACCGGTCAACGAACGGCGCCGGAACCGGCAAAAAAACGGCAAACGGAACCGGTGAAAAAACGGCCCTGTCGTTTCCAGGGCCCACTAAGGTCTGATCTACCTTCTTGTCCGTAGACCAGCCCGGCTTGAGCACCAGCCCAAAGCTTGCGACTGCGAATCGGGGACCCCCCCCTCCTGTTTGGAGTCCCGAAACGGTGCGGTGACGGACCGTGCGGTGATCTCGAAATCCCCCCAGACCTCACTGCACGGTCCGTCGCCGCACGGTTTTGAGACCCCGGAGGCCCCCGTCACCGCACGGAGGAGAGGAGGACGAGGAGGGGGAGGAGGAGGAGGATGAGGAGGAGCAGGAGGAGGAGGAAGGAGGAGGAGGAGGAGGAGGAGGAAGTAGGACGAGTAGGAGGACGAGGAGGAGGAGGAGGATTCCAGTTGGGAGGTCTCCCTGAGTCCCTGAGTCCCAGAACCGCGCGGTGACCCCGACTCTCGGGTCGGGCGAAAGGGGGGGATAGCAAAGGGGGGGTTTGAGAATCAGCTCACGTAGCTGATTTTCCTGGCGCCTCCCGGCGCCGGAGGCGGCTATGTATCGAGGAATGGGCCCCTCGGTGAGGCCGAAACCAGCTGCATGCAGCAAATATTGTAACCCCCCCTTTCCCAATCCCCCCCTTTCGCCCGGCCCGAGACTCCCCACCGACTCACCGCACGGCGTGGCCACCGCCCCGTCTGGGGGCCCCCGATCCTGGCCGGGGGCCGGCCGCCCGGCGCCCGGGGCGCCCAGGCGGAGGGCGCCCCACGTGCCCAGACCGCCAGGCCTCGAGAAGACTCGACGCTGATGTCGGGCGTGTCCCCCTTACACGGGGATTTTCGACGAAAAATGAAAGATACCCTCCAAATACCCCAAGAAGATCAAACAATACTCAAAAAATAGTCCCCAGACTATTTTTGGACTATTTTTTAATTATTTTTGGGGGTACTTTTGTTTTTTCGTCGAAAATCCCCCTGTAGGGGGACAGGCCCGACTTAACTCAACGCGGAAGCTTCTCGCACTTTTGGTTGCCTGAGGGGGCGCTCGCCGGGCCTCAGGACTGTGAGAAAAACGACTCAGGATGAAGGGCGGGCCCTGGGGAAGAGGTCCTGGCCTCTGGGGAGCCCGCACTGAGAAACTGAGGACATCGGATGTCTGGATTGGGCCATCCCCATCGTCGGCCATTGCCCTCTTTTTACCCCTTCATGCTCGTCCTTCGCCTCCACCCTCCGCCTCCAATTCCTCCTCCTCGATACCCGCCGCCGCCACCCGCAAGCCCCGAAGAGCGGACCCCCCCCCGCAGGGTGAAGAGCGGGAGAAGGGAACGCGGCAGGTTCTCCCGAACGACCTCTGAGCGCCAGAAAGATTCGGGCGGGTGGTAGTGGGGGGTGACCTGAATAGGCGGTGAAGAAAAGGCCCTATACTGAGCCCTTTAGGGCCCCTGCTGGCTCCTCAAGGGGCCCTCGAGGGCCCCTTCAGAGCCTTTTCCTTCAACCCCCATTCCGGGGTTGCTAGAGGTACCCCTGTCCCAAGTTTCTCCCAGCTCTTCGCTCCATTTTTGAGTTTGTGGGCCCCCCTGGGCCTCGTGAGGGAGGGGTGTTCTGGATGCCGTGGGGGCCTCCTTCGAAATCCTGGGGGCACCTTGGGCCAGGGATACTTCTGGCAACACCCGACCCATCTAGATCCCCCCCCCATTGCCATCCGCCCTGAGCTGGGGCGGGGCATCGGCCGGGCCCCCTCGTTCTGAACGCCAGGGCGGTGTGGTGGGGCATCGGCTGTGGTCGGCTGGTCTCAGCCGGGCAGCCTCTCCTGAGCCTTAAGACCCCGTCGAAGGGTGGAGGAAAAGGGGGGGAGGACGACGAGAGGATGGGGCAGCAGGAGTAACGACCCCGAGGCGGCTCCTGTGACCACGTTTGATCCTCGGAGGAAGGCCAGTTGAGACAACGGCGACTGGCTCGCCCGCCCCTCCCGAACCTGAGACCCAATGGAAAAGGTGGACCGAGCGGATCGAGCGGATCGAATCGGCACGCTATGCCCGACGGAACCGCGCCGAGGGCCGCCTGGCCGCATCGGGCCGTTCCCGCGACGTGCTGGGCCACCTGGAAGCAACTCCCCCTCTCGCCCCCGAGCTTCCCGCACGAGCTGACCTCTGGAAGCGGAGGACGACGACGAGGAGAGGCTGGGGCAGGAGCAGTACGGTGGAGGCCAGTCCACAAGAAACTGTGCCACGAAAGCTGGACCCCGAACCCCTGGGGCATCCATGCATCTTTGGCGTGGGAGCGCCACGCTGCCCAAAGAAAGACCATCGAGACCCACCCATCGACATCCAAGAAAAACCATCGAAATCCATCGAAATCCAAGAAATCCGAAGAAGAACCATCGAAATCCATGCCAAGAAACCCAGGGTGTTTCTCGGCATGGGCTTCCGCTGCACAGCGGCCCCGCAACGGCGGCCCCCGCGACCACACTGCAGCCCCCGGGGGCGAGGGCCACGCTGAGGCCACGGCGGCTGCCCCCCCCCCCCCCCCCCCCCCGCCCAACAAAAGTCCGCTCCTCGAACGCGGCCCCACCGACCCCCCGCAAGCCTTGGCAACACGCTGAAAGGTAGGGGGCAGGGGGGCGCCTTCTTTCTTTCTCTTTTTTTTGTCTCTCTCTCTCTCTCTCTCTCTCTCTCTCTCTCTCTCTATATATATATATACATACATATAAGTGTGTATATATATGTATGTATGTATACATACATATATATATATATGTATATACACAGGGCCCGCGCCTTCTAAGAAACATCGGTGTTTCTAAGAAGCCTCGCCCCCTCCCCGTACCCCCCCCATATGCGCGCCGCCAAAACCATCCCCTTCCGTGACGCCACCCTCGCCTCTCAAGCTTCCCTCCGGCCGCATGCATACGTCTTGGGGCGAGGCGGGGGGGGGCGTCACGGAAGGGGATGGTTTGCCAGGGGTCGGTGAAGCCGCCCCTGAACTCCAACTCGGTCCCACGGCCTCCTCCTCCCCGGGGCCCATCCTGACGAGTGGCTCGAGGCGAATCCAACCGTGGTGGCGAGCAGCCCCTGGGAGGACCGCCGATGTGATTTCTGCCGCCCGCGGTCCCAAATAAAAAAAGAACAAGGAGGAGGAAAAGAAGAAAAAGAAACGGCATAAACGTAAGCTGTGGGGGGCCCAACGCAGATCCAAGAAATCCACGCAGAGCGCCGACCGGTACGTCGTTCGCGGTGTTCCCCTGTGCTCCCCGCCAGCCCCAGCCGCCGCCACCCTTGCCACCGTGGTTCGCCACGGCCGCCCACCGCGCTCTGGCCCTGCGCGCCCGGCTGCTGCTGCTCCCCCGGCTGCTCATCGTCAAACTCTTCGGCGTCTGAGCGTCCCTTCTTCCTCTCGGCCAGAGTCCGCCGCCTCGCCGCTGACGAAAAAGGGTTTTCCTCGTCGACTCGAGCCAGGGTGGGGGCCCCAGCGCAGATCCGAGAAATCAGTGCGCAGCGCCAAAAGTTTATGTATATGGCGTGTTTTCTTCTTCGAGTCGAGACGGATCCAGCCGTGGTGTCGAGACAGACGCCCCTGAGAGGGCCACCGACGTGATTTCTTCAGTCCGTGGCCCCCAGAGGTCTCGACCGCTTGCCTGGAGGTAGTTCGTGCTGCATACAGCTCTGATCATCTGGTCTCGGGCCCCGATCACTCGCCCCGGACGCCGAAGATCCAAGGCACGAAACCCTGGATTTTAAAACAATGGGGTCAGGGTTCGGTCGGGCATGTCCTCCCACAGGCGGATTCTGGAAGAAACATGGAAGATAGTCAGGACCTGCTAGAAAGGATAGTCCACACATGATCGAGAAATCGTCCCCGGGCTATTTTTAGGTCGGGCGTGTCCCCCTACAGGGGGATCTTCGACGAAAATTTAAAAATACAGAAAAATACTCCCAAATGGCCAAAGATAGTCAAAAAAACAATCCCGAAGATAGTCAAACATAAAAAATACTCCAAAAAAGAAAACTCCCAAAAGGTCAAAAATGCTAAAAAAATAATCTCCAAACGATGTGTAAACTATTTTTGAACCTTCCTCCTGTGGAGGGACAAGCCCGACTTGAAGACGCAGGCCAGGGGGGCGAAAGCACCGGCGTGCCGCAGCCCCGCCGCGGCGAGGCTGCGCGGGCCTTCGCTGCCCCGTGCGCCTTCCGCGGGCCGGCCGCCGGCGCACGCCGCGGGGGGCCGTGGGGACCCTCGAGAAATACGTGCTGCCCAGTTTTGAAGTGACACACAAATAAAAATACACGCAAATAACAAGATTTTCCTATATTTTCAAATCTTTTCTGGGTTTTGGGCCGTGGGGACCCTCGTGGAACACGTCCTGCCCAATTTTGGAAGGGGCCTTGGGACACACAAATAAATACACACAGATAACAGGATTTCCCAGATTTTCAAGTAGTTTCTGGATGTTTGTCTTCCCCCCCACACTTCCCACAGTTTCCCAATTTTGAAGGGGCCCTGGGACACACAAAGAAATACACAGAAATAGCCAGATTTTCTCATATTCTCATATAGTTTCTGGGTTTTTTTGTCTTCCCCCCCCCCACTTCCCACATTTTCCCCATATGTTCTGGGGGGTCGACGATCAGTTGTGTCTGTGTTTTTTTCCATCCTGACTCGTGAATACGTCCTGCCCAATTTGGCCTGCTCGTACCCTCGGCGAGCCAGACTCGCGTCTGGTGTCGCCAGAGCTACGGTCGGGAACTTCTGGACGGCGTACCGCCGCGGCGGCCCCGGCCACACGCTATGCCCTGGGCCACACACACGGATCCAGCCGTGGTGTCGAGACAGACGCCCCTGAGAGGGCCACCGACGTGATTTCTTCAGTCCGTGGCCCCCAGAGGTCTCGACCGCTTGCCTGGAGGTAGTTCGTGCTGCATACAGCTCTGATCATCTGGTCTCGGGCCCCGATCACTCGCCCCGGACGCCGAAGATCCAAGGCACGAAACCCTGGATTTTAAAACAATGGGGTCAGGGTTCGGTCGGGCATGTCCTCCCACAGGCGGATTCTGGAAGAAACATGGAAGATAGTCAGGACCTGCTAGAAAGGATAGTCCACACATGATCGAGAAATCGTCCCCGGGCTATTTTTAGGTCGGGCGTGTCCCCCTACAGGGGGATCTTCGACGAAAATTTAAAAATACAGAAAAATACTCCCAAATGGCCAAAGATAGTCAAAAAAACAATCCCGAAGATAGTCAAACATAAAAAATACTCCAAAAAAGAAAACTCCCAAAAGGTCAAAAATGCTCAAAAAATAATCTCCAAACGATGTGTAAACTATTTTTGAACCTTCCTCCTGTGGAGGGACAAGCCCGACTTGAAGACGCAGGCCAGGGGGGCGAAAGCACCGGCGTGCCGCAGCCCCGCCGCGGCGAGGCTGCGCGGGCCTTCGCTGCCCCGTGCGCCTTCCGCGGGCCGGCCGCCGGCGCACGCCGCGGGGGGCCGTGGGGACCCTCGAGAAATACGTGCTGCCCAGTTTTGAAGTGACACACAAATAAAAATACACGCAAATAACAAGATTTTCCTATATTTTCAAATCTTTTCTGGGTTTTGGGCCGTGGGGACCCTCGTGGAACACGTCCTGCCCAATTTTGGAAGGGGCCTTGGGACACACAAATAAATACACACAGATAACAGGATTTCCCAGATTTTCAAGTAGTTTCTGGATGTTTGTCTTCCCCCCCACACTTCCCACAGTTTCCCAATTTTGAAGGGGCCCTGGGACACACAAAGAAATACACAGAAATAGCCAGATTTTCTCATATTCTCATATAGTTTCTGGGTTTTTTTGTCTTCCCCCCCCCCACTTCCCACATTTTCCCCATATGTTCTGGGGGGTCGACGATCAGTTGTGTCTGTGTTTTTTTCCATCCTGACTCGTGAATACGTCCTGCCCAATTTGGCCTGCTCGTACCCTCGGCGAGCCAGACTCGCGTCTGGTGTCGCCAGAGCTACGGTCGGGAACTTCTGGACGGCGTACCGCCGCGGCGGCCCCGGCCACACGCTATGCCCTGCGAGCGGATAGTGCATCGCTCCGCTCCGCGGGACGGGATGTCCTGAAAAACTCGGGACGTTGACGCTCGGGGACCGGGAAGTGCATAGCGTGTCGCGCTGGAGCGTGGTGGGCCAGAACCGGCGGAGCGACACGCTAAGCTAAATGTTCCCGACCGTCTCGTATAGGAGTTCTGGGACCTTTCCTCTGGCAGCTCCCTCTGCACCCGAGGGCGCCATCCTCGTCCCCAGACCGGCCAGGTGGCGGGGAGGAGGGCTCCGACCAGGCCTCGTGCAGGAACTCCAGCGCCAGGATGAGCGATCCCGCGTAGAACTGGGCCTCGCTCTCTCGCGGAGGCCGCGAGGGGGGTTCGCAAATCATGCCCCGAGGCAATGTGCGCGGCCCAGGGGGGCCAAGGGACGCGTTGAAATCTGAAGAGGTATCATGGTCAGGGCCATGATATCCACACAACCCTATTCATGACCCCCTCTTGGACGGCCTCGCTCTCTCGCGGAGGCGGCGACTAGCCCAGCAGCACGCCGTGACGCTGCAGCAGTCGCCGTCGCTGTCGCCGTCGTTTTCGCCGTCGCCGTCGCCGTCGCCGCCGCCGCCGTCGTCGTCCTCCTCCTCCTCCTCCTTTCCTCTGCCTCCTCATCCTCCTCCTACCTGCTCCTCATCATCCTCTCCCTCATCATCATGACCACCATCATGCTTCTCATCATCATCGTCATCACCTTCATCTTCATCAGCATGATCATCACCACCGTCGCCACCACCACACTCATCATCATCATCATCATCATCATCATCATCATCATCATCATCATCATCATCATCATCATCATCGTCATCATCATCATCATCATCATCAGCATCATCAGCAGCATCATCATCACCATCATCAGCATCATCATCGCCACCATCATCAGTAGCAGCATGATCAAAATCATGATCATCAGCATCACCAGCATCAGCAGCATCATGGGCATCAGCATCATCACCATCATCATCAGCAGCATCATCGTCATCATCATCATCGTCATCAGCAGCATCATCTTAATCGTCATCGTCATCATTATCATCGTCGTCATCATCTTCATTATTATCATCGTCACCATCATCATCAATATCATCAACATCACCCTAAACATCAAAATCCGCATCATCGTCATCAGACTCTGCATCACAACATTTCATAAACAGAATCATCCTCAACATCATCAGCATCATCATAATCTCCATCACCGCCATCATCAACATCATCATTATCCACCTCATCCTCCTTCTCATCATCATCGTCGTCGTCATCAACAATACCATCATCAGCATCACCAGCATGGTCATCACCATCATCGCCATCATCAGCACCATCATCATCATCATCTTTATCATCGTCATGGTCGTCATCATCATCATCACTATCGACGTCATCATCATCGTCATCGACATCATCATCACCATCACCAACATACACATCGTCATCATCACAACCATCACCATCGCCATCAACATTACAATCGCCATCACCGCGACCATCACCATCATCATCATCGTCATCGTCATCGTCAGAGTCATTATAATCATCATCATCAGCAGCATCATCAACGGCATCATAATCATCATCATCACCATCATCAGCAGCATGATCAGAATCATGATCATCATAATCACCATCATCAGCAACATCATCACCATCAACACAACCATACTCATGACCATCATCAGCATCAGCACCAGCATCAGCAACATCATCGTCATCGTCATCATCACCATCGTCATCATCATCGTCGTCATCATCATCATAATCATCGTCATCATCACAACCATCGCCATCACCATCACCATAACCATCACCATTATCATCATGATCATCATTTTCATCATCATCACCTACATCGTTTCGCTCCTCCTCCTCCTCCTCCTCCTCCTCCTGCTCCACCTCCGCCTCCTCTCTCCTCGTGTGCCTCCCTCTCCTCCTCTTCCTCCTCCTCCACCTCCTCCTCCTCCTGCTTCTCCTCCGCCTCCTCTCTCCTTCTCCTGTGCCTCCCTCTCCTCCTCCTCCTCCTCCTCCTCCACCTCCTCCTCTTCCTCTTCTCCAACTCCTCATCCTCCTTCTGCTGATCCTCCGCCTCTCCCTCATCCTCTCTCTCCCATCTGTGAACATTTTGTTTGAAACCGTGTTAACTCGAAGCTTAGAACTTGCACAGTCCTCATGTAGGGTCGAGGTCATTCGGTGCCGCTGGGGTTTGCGAGGGCACGACGGGTGGGCCAGTCGCGATCCTGCACGAGTGAGCACAGCGCTGGAGCTGCAACGTGTGCATAATATCCACAGGGTACCGCCCTATTTCGCCTTTGTGTCGGGGATTTTCGCGTCATGCCCAGGGTCCCAGTCACCCATATGGTCCCGCCCTTTGGTGCCCCTGTTTGCTGGCCTCTCCGATATACACTTCGTCCACGCACTGGCATCATTGAATTCTATTGCTGATCGCCCACGCTCGCACGCTGCTGAGCGCCACCTGTCCGCTCGACATCGCGCAGGGGGGACTTGCCAAGACAAAAGCATGCATGAATGATGCGCACATGGCCGACTCCGGGAACCCTGGCTTGGCTACCGCAGCTTCGACCTATGTTGGGAAATCGGCTGCAATTCCCAGCGGCATCCGAGAACTTTCTGCTGGGGGAGCCACCCTTACTCTACCTCCGCCGCTGTCCGCGGCGTGTCCGCGGGCCTCCGCTGGGGACGAGACGTCAGCACCGCGCTCCTTCGAAGGCGAGGCCCTTATTGGAGCAGCTCCTCTGGACCACGATTGAAGTACCAAGTCCCCGACATTGATATGCACGTGTTTGCCAGCGTGGGCCCCGATCAATAAGCTGATGCACCGTGGATGTGCAGGCCGTGTGGTGATATATGCAGTGGGACCTCTGCTGTGCAAGCTGTGCGTTGCAGGCTATGTGGTGCAAGCTGTGAGATGTAACATATGAGGTGCAAGCTGAGTGGTGCAGGTTGTGTGTGCAATCTATGTTGTGCAACCTATGAAGTGGCATTCATGTGATGCAGTCTAGTTTGCGCAATCTGTGTGGCGAAATTCATGTCGTGCAGCATGTGGTGCAACGTATTGGTACAACATATACGGTGCACTAAATGGTGCGACCTGTGTGGTGCAACCTATTCGGTGCAAGATACGTGATGCATCCGATACCGCGATGCAGTATGTGTAGTGCACTCTAGGCGGTGCAAACATAGGTGGTGCCATATGTGGTGCAACCTATGTGGTGCAAGTTGTGTGGATCAACCTGTGTAGTGCAATATATGCGTTTCAAGCTGTGAGGTGCAAGCCATGTGGTGCACCACATGTGCTGCAAGCTATGTGGTGCAAGTGTAGTGTAAGCTCTGCGGTATAACTTATGAGATGGAATGTATGCGGTGCAAGCTCTGTGGTGTACGATGTGGTGCAAGCTACGTGGTGCAAACAACGTGGCGCCTACGGTCTGGAACTTTGGGATCGCGTGTCGCCGCGGCAGCCCCGGCGATACGCTCTGCCCTGCGAGCGGATAGCGTGTCGCCCCGCTCCACCGGGCAAGAGGTTCGGGAAAGCTCGGGGCTTTGAGGCCTGGGGACTGGGATGTGGACAGCGTGTCAAGCTGAAACGCGGTGGGCTAGAACCGGCGGCGCGACACTCCGAGCCAAAGTTCCTCACCGTATGTTGTATGAGCCCTGGCCCTGCACTGAAACTCGCACAAGAAAGCGGATCCTGGTGTATACGGGATGCTGGTGTAAACATTTCCGTCCCTTCCCCGGGAACACGGGGAAACGACTATACACCACACCACCCCAACGCCGCCCCTGACACTCAAAAAGTCCAGGGATTGGAAAGCAGCACGCCGCTGGTAATGTATACGTTCCAGTTTCCGATATTAGATAGCATGCGCCCACGAGGCGCCCACAACTGGCCACGAGTGGCGACGTCGCGAAACCTCGAGAGTACCCATCTACCAAGCGGAGCACCCACGAGGCGGCCACGAGGCGGCAGTGCGGCGAAACCTCGGCACACCCAGCCGATTCCTTGGACAACGCAAGTGACACCCCCCAAGTGTGCAAGCACTTTCTGGGGCGTCGAACATCAATCTCAGAGGACCAACCCAGCCGCGGCGACGAGGGCGCCCCCGGAAGTGGAGGCTTGGAAAAGTGACACCAACACCAACACAGGGCGTTGCCTCCACCAGGGGAGGATGATCCCAGATTTCGGTCTTGGTGGTCATCTCTCGGCCGACTAGGAAGCCATAATATTACCACCATCACCGAGATCGGGATCGTCTTCCCTCGGTGGAGGCACGCCGCCGATCTTGGTGTTGCTGTCAACCTCTAGGCCTGCGACAGAAGCCCAACTTGTCAAGCAACAAGTCGGCAGCGAGCCCGGGGGGGAGTGAGAAAAGGGGGGGCCTTCTCAGAAGGCTCGGAAGTCCCCCGGAGGGCTTTTTGAGAAGCCCCGCCGCCCTCCGAGAAGGCCTTCCTTCTTCTCGCTTCCCCCCTTTGCTCGCCGCCGAACAGCACACGGGACACCCTGCATCCCAGCGCCTCGATCCGAGGCCGGAATCTCTGCGCGTCCGCCGCCCAGGGGGCCCAGACGCCCCAGGGGCAGCAGGGGGCAGGGGGCCTTGACATGTCCAGCTCTGCCTCCCCGCCAGGGCCCAGACAGATTCATGTCCACCCCGAGGTCGGGACGTTTATGGGCCCCGGGAGGTCTCGACCCCGTCCCCAGGGCCAGCTCGTCGTCCCGAGACGCTTCTGGAGAGCCCCGGGGCCCAGCAAGGGCATCCGGAGACCGAAAGCTGTAGCAAACCTCCTGCTCGAGGTGGTCTGGGTCCTGGTGTCCCGGGACATCGGGTTCCCCGGGCGGTGGCGATGTACATCATAGGGGGGACAAACAAAGACATGAACATCAAAGCTCCGAGGTCCGTGCGGATTTCGCGGATCGGCACGCCTTTGGGCTCCGGCGCAGACCCGAGGAATCCGCGCGAACCTCTGACTTTTATGTTTATGTAATCACTTGTTCAAACATCCTACGAAAACTGGACCTCCAAAAAACCCGGGACGGCCCGTCAAAAAGCGTCGGCAAAATCTAGTTCTGGCGAGCTCGAGTCTTACGTTTCCCCGAATCAGTTCCAGCCTCGGACGCGGTCCCCGAGGTCACTCCGAGAGCGCCTCCTGTCGGGTCAGGACTCGGCCCACGGCGTCGAGCGCTGCCAGCAGCTCCCCGCCGGTGAGCAGCTCGGTCAGCAGGTAGGCGCCCCACTGGCGCCGGCGGAGCTCCAGGGTGAGGGAGAAGGGGGGAGGTGGAGGTGGAGGAGCAGGCGAAGCGAAGCGAACGCCGGAGTCGTGCGCGCTCCACCGGGGAGCCCGCCCGTGCCCATTAGGGCATGGCGTGGAGGCCGTGGCCTCGACAAAAAAGATCACCCAACTATTCATGCTTGCGAAACGTATGCCGGCTCACAGGATGTCCACCACTCTGTGCAGCAGGCGGCCCGGATCCATCGTAGGTCGTTCGTGTTGGTATGCTCGTATTGTCGTGGTTGGGTGGCTGCCCTGTTCTGTTCCTCTACGGCCTCGCTGTCCAGACTGTGCAGGAAGCTGCGGATATCGTCGTCCCACCGCTTTGGCTGTCCCCCTTGCTGCCGTCGTCCGCGCTGGCGTGTATTGAGATTCGGGTTCCGTTCCGGCACTCTCCGGGTCCAGCGAGTCGTGGGACGGTGAGACACCGTATTCGCACATCGCCATACCATTCTACGATGTATATACAATGCGTCTGGTATATCGTGCATGAGCATGAGTGGTTCCGCCCTCCGTGTGCTTCTGCGGATGAAGTCGGACCACAGCTCCAGGTCGTCATCCCCCCTGCTGCTATGCTGCGTGTCCTCGTCGTCGTTGCCTGCGTCTTGCAGATTGAGTGGGTTGGGAAGGTCGCTGCGTACGTCGGAGTCGGTGGAATCGTTGGAATCGTTGGAGTCGCGTGGATTGGTGGATCCCTTACTGTGGTGGTGGGTGTTGTTTTGGGCTACTGGGTCGTGGTGCGGTGTCGGTGCAGCTGTGCGTCTCCTCGGTGTCCCTATGATTAGTCTGATCATGCGTCGTTGCGTTCGTCGTAGCTGCTGCTTGAGGGGCTCTGTCAGAGTCCAGGTTTCTGCGCCGTTCGTCATGGTAGGGATGACTGCACTCTTGTAAAGTCGCAATCGATGTCTCAATGGGTAGTGTTTGCTGGTGGATTCTTGTCGGTGGCCGCTAAAACGCGCCCACGCAGCTTGAATCTGGTGCTTGACTTCGGTCGCGGCGTCGTGGAAGGTGATCGTCTGGCCTAAGTACTTGATGGTGCTGGTTCGTGGTAGGATTTCGATGTCCATCCCCGTTACTGTAGACGTCCGGTCACGGTTGCGAAGCTGAAATGTCATTATTTTGGCGTTGGTTGGGAGGAGGAGGTAGAGGAGCAGGGGGAGGAGGGGGAGGAGGAATGGGAGGAGAGGAGAAAAAAGATTGATGGATGGATGGATGGACGGATTAACTATGATGATGATTACGATGAGGATGCTGATGCTGCTGATGATTATGATCACGATAATGATTAAGAAGATGATGATGATGATGATGATGATGATGATGATGATGATGATGATGATGATGATGAGGGTGAGGATGATGATGAGTATAGTGATGATGATGTTGGTGATGATTCACATCATAGCGATGGTGGTGATGATACTTATGATGATGATACTGCTGATGCTGATGCTGACGATGAGGGTGAGGTTGAGGATGAGGATGAGGATGATAATGAGGAGTGGTGATGAGTATGATCACGATGATGATAAGGATGGTGGTGATTATCATCATAGCGATGGTGATGATGACGATGACGATGACAATGACGAGAATGATGATGATGCTTCTGATGAGGATGACGACCACGATGATGAGGATGATGGTGATGAGGACGATGCTGACGATGATGATCATGATTATGATGCTGTTGATGCTGAGGTTCCCCTGCTGGTGTAGATGACGACGATGATGATGCTCATCGTCATGGTGCTGATGATGCTACTGCTGATGACGAGGACGATGACGACCACGAGGACGATGATGATGATGTTGATGATGATGATGATGACTCGAAATTTGAAGGCGGACTTCCAGGAGATTCTGTCCTCTCATTACTTTAGTAAGTAGTCCTCGTCGTATTGATTTATAGACCCATCTCTTCCATCACATGTTGTGCCATATGCTGTGTCATGTGCCGGTCTCTCGTCCCATCTGGGTTGAGTCTCATAGCCCGCCTAGGGCTATCGTATCTGAATGCCCTTCAGTGCGCCGCCCTTTTGCCTGTCCTCGTCTTCCGTCCCTTCACAATGCCACAATGATGCCATCAACGGACTCCCATCCAGTTGGATTTTTGACACATGATGGCGTGGTGAGCCACCCCATCCGTAAGTCGCTGTGTATGGGATAACCAAGACATGAGTGCTTGAATGCAAATTATACATGTACGTATGTATCATTTACGTGTGTACACACACACTACAAAAACAGGAGGAGAGATGGGGAGGAGGAGGGAGGAGAGGGAGGATGAAAAGGACGAGGGGGGGGAGGACGAGGGGGCGGAGGGAGGAGAAGGCAGAGGGAGGAGGGAGGAGGGAGCGGGGAGGACGAAGGGGGAGGAGGGAGGGGGAGAAGGAGGAAGTAGGGGGGGATGGAGGAGGACCGAGGCCCTTCTCCGCCTCTTCTGGGCCCATTCAGGGGGAAAGAGGAGGAAGGGGAAGGAGGAGGAAGAAGGGGGGGAGGGGAGAGGGGAGGAGGAAGAGCTAGACACGCTCGCGCCATACCTGGCATCCCATCCCTGCCCCATGGCGATGTTTTGAATATGTCCGCGGACGCGTGTCGTCGCGGACCTGGAATTACAGAAAGGAAACCATCATGTCGTGCGCAAGCGGGAACAGGAGCTGCATACATTTGGGGAAGAGGAAGAGGTGGCGGCGAATGAGCAGTAGGAAAGGAAGAAGAAAGGAGGGGGAGGACGAGGACGAACAGCAGCAGTAGCATGACCTGGAGTGGAAAGACCAGGAGGAGCAGGAGGACCAGGGGAAGGCGGAGGACGGGAAAGGTGGAGGGCGACAACAATGAGGAAGGACTCGGATCCAGTAAAGTGGCCCGCGCTGGGGCGAGAACGCACGTCTGAACGACCAGGGCAAAACACCGATCCTGAAACGAGGCCCACGCTGCAGCGGCAACACCATTTTGAAGGACCGGCAACGACGGGATTGCACGATGCAGAACATCGGGCACACAAAAAGATGAACCCTGGGAAAAAACATACACTGGACTCATTTCTATAGCGCTCACGTCTATAGTGCTCACATTCAAATTGAAGTCCACAAGGGGCCGCACATGCAGGCACATGCCAAACAATCGGATGCACGTGCCCATGCAACTCCACAAAATCCTCAACAGCACTGCCGCACATGCGCGCACATGCCGCACAGTCCGATGCACAGTCGGACGGACAGTCTGGCACAACTCTGAAAACATAAAAAGCACATGCGCGCACGCGCCGCAGAGTCGAAACATCTTTTGGACAGAATCAAGGAAAAGAGAGGAGAGTAGTACCCAATCGTGCATCCTACATGTGAATTAGTACCGTCCCAGCCAGGCCGGCATCGACCCCCCACCGCGCCATCCTCTGCAACAAGTCATATGCGCGCGCCTTCGTTTATCCGAACTCATCAGTTTCCAGGAAGTGCACACGCGCGCGTCGTCGCGCGCGCATGTCGAATTCCTTGAAACAAAATCTTCGGTTTCGTCAAGGATATTAAAATCGAACGTCACGAAAACATATAAAACCACACGGTCATGCACCAATAATCGTCGAACCACAGTTATAGAATTGAAGCAAAAGCTTGCGCCCACGCTTTTGCGAATCCTCAAAGGAACCATCGGTTTTCAACATGTCCAGAACATGTTTCCGAATGGGATTCCCGCGCGCGCGTCGAACTCGTTCGGACGCCCTTGCGCGCGCACTATCGCAAGAACTCCTTGCAAAAAACCGGGGCGAAGTGCACGCGCGCGCGTCGCCGCGAGCGCATGCCGAATTCCTTCAAACAAACCATGGGTTTCGCGCGGATATCAAATCGAGCACCCCGAGCACATATGAAACAACACTGTTTTTGCAACATCACTTGTCCAAAGATCCTGCGTTCGAGTTCTTGCGGGTTCGTAGGAAAACCTGTTCAAGTTTCAACATTTGCATCAAGTTCTGCCAAACAGGCCTCTCGCGTCGCATGTGAAAATCATTCGAACGCCCTTGCGCGCGTGTTGGGGGGTGGTGGGCACGAGCCGTGTCAAATAATAATACGCGGGCCGCTCGCGCGCGTCGGCCGCGCGCGCATGTCCAACCCCTTCTAAAACCTTCATCGCCGACGCGGGGACACCGTCACCGTTATCGGCGGGCGTGATCAAGTTCGGCACCGTCATTGGCCTTACCGTCGTCAGCGCCATCATCGTCACCATCGCTACTCGACTCTCATAATCGTGCCTACCGTTGTCGGCGTCGCCATGATGCCGCGCCCGCCCAACTCACCGACTCGCGCTGAAGTGCCCGCCAGGAAATGCCTAGAGGTCAGCACCACCGCGGCCGCGTCGGCCGCGCCAAACTAGCCGGCCGCTGTGCGCGCGAGCATGCGCGGGCTAGCGCGGCCGCAGAGATACACCAGTCAACGCCAAGCACTCATCGCAATCGCTCCCGCATGGGTTTTGCATACCAGGTTGCGGGTGGGCGGGTGGGATGATTGCGCGAGCAGTGGAGTTGACAACTTCAAGTTCTGCAAGTGAACTGCATCACACAGATTGCACCACATCGACTGCATAAAAAACTGCACAACATAGATTGCACAACATATAATGCATCACATATACAACATTTATTGCTGCTCGAAGCGCACTGTTTGGGGCCCACGCTGGCTAACTTGACATATCGGGAAACCATGTTTCCCATTGCTAGCCTGCTTGACGGATCACGGGTCCGCCTCGCAAATTCGTATCGTTACCCAGTCCCCATACGCTTTGATCTAGTGTTCGGGCATCTCCATGGCCCCTGAATCGAAATAGATGTTTGGCCCGTTCCCGTCGCCCTGCAACGTTGTACAATGGATTCGGCTGCCATGCTTTGCCGTGTAAGGGGAAATTGTTGTGGCCCCGCCTTCGCATCGAAAATAAAATGTTCTGGAAAGCGCCGCCGTGCTCAGGGCCCG